GGAGGGGGGCGCTGGTTTTGGGGGTGCCGGGAGCCGGGTCGACCCTAGTCGGGTAGCAGTGGGCGGGGCCACGAGATCGGGGGCGTTGGTAACCGGGCGGGGTGGGGGGGCACTGGGGCGGGGTGACCGCCGCCTTCCCCGCTCTGCACCCCGCCCCCGCCCGGGGGTCCCCTCCTTGCCAGTCCCGTCGTCGCCTGGGAGAAGGTGTAGAGGTGACCCCGCAGCCTCGCCCTCCTGGGGCTCAGAGGCGGTGGGTGCCTTCCCCGCTCCCAGCCCCAGAGTCCCCAAACGGCGGGCGGTTCAGGCACCTCCGAGCGAGACGAGGAAGCGCAGGGCGCACCTGCAGCCCTGCACCCAGTCCCCACCCTCAGGCTCTGTTCCTCTCCCTCCGGCTCAAAACCTCATCAAGAAGTAACCCCGGCCCTGGCCGGTGTGGCTCAGTGGACAGAGCGTCGGCCTGCGGACTGACGGGGTCCCCGGTTCCATTGCGGTCAGAGGCTCAGACCTCGGTTGCAGGCTCCTCCCCTGCCTGGGCCCTGGTCAGGCTCGTGCAGGAGGCCACCAATCCATGTGTCTCTCACATGGATGTTTCTCTCTCTGCCTCTCCCCCTCCCACTCTCTCTAAAAATCAATGGAAAAATATCCTTGGGCGAGGATTAAAAAGAAAGAAATAATCACAGTTGGGAAAGAAAAAATTTTAAGGAGGGAGACAGAACAGGTATCCTCTCCCCCCAGAAGAAAAGCAAAGGAAACCCGAGAAGCTACTGATCATAATTCGTTCTAGCTCTTGGTCTGGGAGAGTGAAAGAAAGAAAGAAAAACCCAATTGCTTTTTAAGTGAACTAACCGCAAAGTAAGAGCAGGACCGCTCCCGGGCTGAGGCGCAGCCGGGTGACGTGACAGGGTCAGGCTTGCCTTTCCCGGACTGGGCTGCGGCCCCCTCTTCCCACGGCCGCACCCCCGTTTCCTTCCCGAAGCTGGACGGCTCACACCCTGGGTTTCACCCACTTGTCCTGACGTGACATTGACCCGGATTCAGGCTGATGGCAGCGTAATTGTCCATGTGAAATCTCCACTAACCTTCACAGCCAGACCCTTGCATTTCAGGAGTGAACCTCACGCCCAAGACATGGGACAAACGCGGGATTCAAGCCCAGAGCCATTTATTACCAAGAGGCCGAGGAAGAATGTACAGCTCTCCTGCCTTTCTTTCTTTTTCCTTTTCCATGTGCCGTCTTAACCAGCCCGATGGAAGAGTTGGGCCAGATGCACAATTTGGTATCGTTTGGGTGCTGGGTGTGCTAAGTCCACAGATGTCGGAAGCTGTCGATACAAGGTTTCTCTTTAAGAAAAACAAACCTCATCTTGAAGCTCTCTAAGCCTGGAAAAAAGTGTTCAGATGGAAAATTTTTTCCTGAACGAAGTTCAACTAAGTTTAATCATTTAAAGGAAAACATGCCTCAGGGCTGGCAGAGGGAGGCTGGTCACGTGACTCAGCGCGCAACTGCACCCACCGCCCCTGGCGCTGGCCTCCCAGGCAGTTCGCCTCCCAGGGTGTGGATTTCCCTGACCCCTCTGGGTCCCACGCCCGTCTCCCCAGACGTGTCCGGTCGCTCCAGCGGGAGGGCTGCCAAGCCTGTGTTCCTTCCACCCTGAGAGCACATTTACCATCGGCCACATTTGGGGACCTGGCTTCCCGCAGACACTCAGAACCCCAGCGTGAGTTTATTAGGGGCTCCCCTCCCCTAAGCAGACAGCCCCAGCTCCCCCGCGGGGCCAAGGCCCTGAGATCATCTCCAGAAATCAACAAGGACCTCTCGGTCCCAGAGGAGGGCCA